TTGCTAACCAGTCAATAAGGAGAGAAAATAAAGGTATTTCTTTTCTTTAAAACAAATAAACAAAAACAAACAAAACTAAAGTTTCTCTGGAAGAATAAAGTCTCATAGCTTAGCTCAGCTGAAAGCCGAAATACAGAGAAGCATCAATCACCAGAGTATTTTGGGGAAGAGAAGAGAGCTTGGGGGTTTAGGTCTATGGCTTGTGTTATACAGGTCAGACTAGATGATCACAATAGTCCCTTCTAAGAACATAAGAATGGTCATACTGGGTCAGACCAAAGGTCCATCCAGCCCAGTATCCTGTCTTCCGACAGTGACCAATGCCAGGTGTCCCAGAGGGAGTGAACCTAACAGGTAATGATCAAGTGATCTCTCTCCTGCCATCCATCTCCACCCTCTGACAAACAGAGGCTAGGGACACCATTCCTTACCCATCTTGGCTAATAGCCATAAATGGACTTAGCCTCCATGAATTTATCCAGTTCTCTTTTAAACCCTGTTCTAGTCCTAGCCTTCACAACCTCCTCAGGCAAGGAGTTCCACAAGTTGACTGTGCGCTGTGTAAAGAACTTCTATTTATTTGTTTTAAACTTGCTGCCCATTAATTTCATTTGGTGGCCCCGAGTTCTTATATTATGGGAACAAGTAAATAACTTTTCCTTAATCACTTTCTCCACACCACTCATTCTATATACCTCTAGCATATCCCCCCCTTAATCTCCTCTTTTCCAAACTGAAAAGTCCTAGTCTCTTTAATCTCTCCTCATATGGGACCCATTCCAAACCCCTAATCATTTTAGTTGCCCTTCTCTGAACTTTTTCTAGTACCAGTATATCTTTTTTGAGATGAGGAGACCACATCTGTATGCAGTATTCAAGATGTGGGCGTACCATGGATTTATATAAGGGCAATAAGATATTCTCCATCTTATTCTCTATCCCTTTTTGAATGATTTCTTATATCCTGTTTGCTTTTTTGACGGCAGCTGCACACTGTGTGGACGTCTTCAGAGAACTATCCATGATGACTCCAAGATCTTTTTCCTGATTAATGGTAGCTAAATTAGCTCCCATCATAGTGTATATGTATAGTTGGGGTTATTTTTTTCCAATGTGCATTACTCTACATTTATCCACATTAAATTTCATTTGCCATTTTGTTGCCCAATCACTTAATTTTGTGAGATCTTTTTGAAGTTCTTCACAGTCTGCTTTGGTCTTAACTATCTTGAGCAGTTTAATATCATCTGCAAACTTTGCCACCTCACTGTTTACCCCTTTCTCCAGATCATTTATGAATAAGTTGAATAGGATTGGTCCTAGGACTGACCCTTGGGGAACACCACTAGTTACCCCTCTCCATTCTGAAAATTTACCATTTATTCCTTTGTTCCCTGTCTTTCAACCAGTTCTCAATCCATGAAAGGATCTTCCCTGTTATCTCATGACAACTTAATTTACGTAAGAGCCTTTGGTAAGGGACCTTGTCAAAGGCCCTCTGGAAATCCAAGTACACTATGTCCACTGGATCCCCCTTGTCCACATGTTTGTTGACCCCTTCAAAGAACTAATAGATTAGTAAGACATGATTTCCCTTTACAGAAACCATGTTTACTTTTGCCCAACAATTTATGTTCTTCTACGTGTCTGACAATTTTATTCTTTACTATTGTTTCAACTAATTTGCCCGGTACCGACGTTAGACTTACCGGTCTGTAATTGCCAGGATCACCTCTAGAGCCCTTTTTAAATATTGGCGTTACATTAGCTATCTTCCAGTCATTGGGTACAGAAGCCGATTTAAAGGACAGGTTACAAACCATAGTTAATAGTTCCGCAATTTCACATTTGAGTTCTTTCAGAACTCTTGGGTGAATGCCATCTGGTTCCGGTGACTTGTTACTGTTAAGTTTATCAATTAATTCCAAAACCTCCTCTAGTGACACTTCAATCTGTGACAATTCCTCAGATTTGTCACCTACAAAGGACGGCTGAGGTTTGGGAATCTCCCTAACATCCTCAGCCGTGAAGACTGAAGCAAAGAATTCATTTAGTTTCTCCGAAATGACTTTATCATCTTTAAGTGCTCCTTTTATATCTCGATCGTTCTGGGGCCCCACTGGTTGTTTAGCAGGCTTCCTGCTTCTGATGTATTTAAAAAACATTTTATTATCTTTTGAAGTTTTGGCTAGCTGTTCTTCAAACTCCTTTTTGGCTTTTCTTATTACATTTTTACACTTAATTTGGCAGTGTTTATGCTCCTTTCTATTTACCTCACTAGGATCTGACTTCCACTTTTTAAAAGATGCCTTTTTATCTCTCACTATTATTGAGTTCTTTATTCTGATAGCCTCTCTAATCTCCCTTAGCATTTCATCGTCACTATCACTGTCCTGGTCAGGTGGCTGATAATAGATCCCTACTGTTATATTCTTATTAGAGTATGGAATTACTATCCATAGAGATTCTATGAAACATGTGGATTTATTTAAGATTTTTACTTCATTTGATTCTACATTTTCTTTCACATATAGTGCCACTCCCCCTCCCACCCCGGAATCTATGAATCTAGGAGACAAAATAGCAATTTTTTCATTTAAGCCTTTTCCAACCAGCCTTGTTGAATTCTGAGCACCTTTCTGGTTCCTAGTCACTTCTCAATGCTGACTAGGTGTTAAATAAACTTGTCTGGGTGAGCTGCCTGGGGCAGTGTGGCAAAGACTCTGGAATCATTTCAACCACAGGAAGAAGCCCCAAGGAAACTGAGCAAATCCTGCTAATCAGGCCTGAATGTGACAGGTTCCACACTGAAATCAGAATCCTTTGCTGCTCCTCTGGCTCTTGTAGAACAGACTGCAAAGAGCAGGAGCAACATCTTACAATGAAATGTATAAAATTATAAATAACAGACAATAAAAAATAAATAGACTTTGTATCTATTTGATTGCTTTCACCCCTCCCTCCAAAGTTTTTATTTACATATTTTGATGTATACACTTGTTCACTACATCTATTCTTTGCTCAAGGCATTCCCTGACATTTTAAAGACTAAATTACAGATTACTCCTGATAACTCTTCTTCAGCCTACCATTGATACTGCAAGCTGTTTAGGGAAGGGATCTTGTCTTTACATGTTTGCACAGAGCCCAGCACAATGGGGCCTTGATCCTGGATGGGCCACTATAATCCAAATACTTAATAACAAGAGTAATAACATTCACTGTTACGGAACGGTTGTACTGGCAAAGTGTCAGACCCCGTGCTGCTCAGTTATCTGATTCCCACAACGGGTAAAGGGCCCACCATCCTTTAATTTCCTGAGAGCCTTCCTTTGTCTTGTAAGAGAAATAACTGCCTCACACACTATAAATAGCTTTAAAAATGTTCAGACATGTAATACATTTTCCCTCCATTCACAGTGACATTTTTGGCCTATGCATCACCCATTCCTAAGACCTTGGGCGAACTTGTGAACTTAATTAACGAATGTCATTCTATTTGAAATCTGTATTATTTAACACAGAGACTTAAATTAACACAGCATTAAGGATATGAGTTTAATTCCACAAACAGCCATAAAAATGAGTTATAATTTTGACTGCAACCTTAACTCTGCCCCCTTGTGCGCTTGAGTTACAATAAGGTTCATCATAAAAATCCCACCTAGCACGGAGCAAAAGAAGGCAACTAAAGCGATAGTCACTGACGTCCGCGGCAACACTGCTGTGTCACCTCATGCATGACACACATCTGAGAGCTATGGGCAACTGAGGCTGATCAGGTCTGGCCTCACACATATGGTAAAAATCAGCAGGTACAAAACCCGTTAATTCCGGACGACTATAAAAGCGATGAGAGGTGTGGGAAGCAGTGTTGTTTTGGAGGGTGGGTGGGGTGGGTGGAGAGAGGTCATAGAAATGCGGGGCTGGAAGGGACCTCGGGAAGCCATCAAGTCCAGCCCCTGTGCCCGGGGAGCCCCAGAAGGGAAGATGAACGTGTCACTTTATCAGAAATCACTTCCCGCTCCTACGAGGGCAGTAAAGGGAAAACAGGAGCCCTGACACCCGCAGGGGAGACGGGACACCGGCGGGGGGCCCTGGAGCACCCGACCAGGCTGGGCTCGGGGGAGGAACAGCTCCCAGCTCGGGCACGGCGCAGCTCGCACAGCATCTCAGGCGGCTCCACCAGGCCCGCGGGTGCGGACACCCCCCGGCTCCTGTCCCCCGC